CTAAGGGCCACCTTAGCAAAGCGCATCCCAGGCTGCATAGCCGCACTACCCTACCCAACCATACCACACATAAACATGACACTACCCCCGGGGTTTACACAGACGAGCCGGCGAAGCAAGAAGAGCGCCAGAAGAAAGGGCCCTAGCCGGCGGGGCCCAGCCAGGACAAAAGGAGGTCCCACAAAGCGCCTACACCGGCCGCATTTGCGGTCGGGGTAGACGACGGATGGGGCCCACCTACGAAGGCTGTCCAGGCCTACACGAGATGAGGCAGGATAAAGAGGGATAATCCCCCTCGATCCCAAATCATTGAGGCCAATTTCTAGCCATAGAATAAAGGCGCGGCGCGCTATATATTCGTAAATTACACCAGGCGTTAATCGTTATTTCGGCAGCGCGACAGCTGTATGCAACGGCGCATGCTTAGATGTCTAAATACCTCCGCCGCCATTATTCCATGGCTAGAAATTGGCCTCAATGATTTGGGATCGAGGGGCATTATCCCTCTTTATCCCACCTCATCTCGTGTAGGCCCAGACAGCCTTCGTAGGTGGGCCCCATCCGTCTTCTGGCGCTCTTCTTGCTTCGCCGGCGCGTCTTTGTAAACCCGGGGGTGGTGTCATGTTTATGTGTGGTATGGTAGGGTAGGCGGTTACCGTCCGAAAAAAAAATAAACATAATTATATGATGACGTGACAATCAAAACCTAAGCTAAGTTCATGATATTTTTCTTGTTCCTTTTATCAGTTAGTTCAGCTAAGATTATTTAAGGAAATTAGAAGTTAGCTAAGACAAAAATTTTGTAAAAGGAAAACAACTGTTGATTGTTATGGAAGTATGTTCACTCACCAGGTGACCGCGGTTGCCATGCGGTCACCCGGTGTGTTAACATACTTCCATAACAATCAATATCCCCCGATCAACCGTATGAATCTACGATGGATTCACCGGGCTTACAAACGGCTAAAAAACCGTCGTTTCATTTACAAGCGGCCTAAAGGACACGATTTTTCGCCAGGCGGGTGGGGAAAAAACGTGCATCCTTGTATATACAGGAAGACAATAACATATTATATTTTCAGATTTTTAAATGTTCTCTCTACTCCTATGCAGTTTGGCGCAAACAGTCAACACGCTCTCATAATCAGTTCAGAGTAACTCTAAGTTGCTATTAGCTACTAATAGCTACTATTTTTGCCAAATCGAATGGCCCTCAGAGGGCAACACAGTTGTGTGACTGTGACATAACAAATTATTAACCTTAAAATTTATAAAATGGCAGGAATAGTAAATATTCAGCGTTATGGTTTACAAAGAATAATCCCCCATATAAACAGACGTTTTGTATCAACATCAAATAAAAATAATGAAACTGCAACTGTAGACGTATGTAACACACCCTCTAAGACCACTGCCGAGAAAAATTGGATTAGTTATGGATTTGATTACACAACTAAAGCAGGCGACAGGAATGCTCTGCATTCAATTATGTTTGGTTCTATTACACTGTGTTTAGTTGTGGGAGGATTTTTCCTTGCATATATGCCAGATTACAACAATAGAGATTGGGCCCAGCGAGAAGCTTTCTTGGAACTTCGTCGAAGAGAACAAAATGGGTTGCCATTAATTAACCCCAATTTTGTTGACCCATCCAAAATACCATTGCCTTCTGATGAAGAATTGGGTGATACAGAAATTATAATTTAGTTATTTAAATTTGTAAATAGGTGTATTTATATCAACTTTTACGATGTTAATATAATATAAAAAATTGTAAGTAGCGATTTATTTGTTTCAGAAATTAGCCCAAATGAAATCATGTTTGGTTATTATAGCTTATGCTGTATCTCTACTACTCTAAAATTAAAATCACCGGTCACCTTTTCGTCAAAGCAAGACAAAATAATAAATTGCAATAATGGAACAATAATTGTCACCACATAACAGTTATATTTTAATACTGTAACTTGTAGGAAATTGTTTTTTTTTGTTAATTTTTGCCCGTTTTGTCATTTTCATTTTGTATTTGTATAATGTTTCAATATAGTGGCACATAACTTATTGGTCAAATATTACCAAGAAATTTTACTATAGAAGGGCAGCTTACAAATTTTGTGAAAAATGCTGTTTTAGGGATACAGGGTGCCAAATTGTTTTTTTCAACATGGCCCACATAAACTGCGTGATGTAAGTTTTGAGCGAAATAAAAAATTAAAATTATATTTTTTTAATTAAAAAATCAAAAATAATTGAGCCCAAGATCTCGAAAGGGGTTGCACATATATTTGATAAATATTTTCTGTCTTCAACCATAGCTATAATTTTTTTAATTTTGTATAAACTTAAAAAATTACCGAAACAATAAATATCGGCCAATCCATTGACGATGTTATGCTACTTATCAGATTCTGTCAAGTTATTTGCTACATCAACTCTATCTTAGGTATGCCAAGTATGCTAAAGAAATAAACATGTTATAATTTTCTACAAAAAAGGTGTTATTGTTCAAAAATTTTATTGATTAAATTCAAAATATGTAAAGGATTTACAAAACTATTACAATCTTTCTTTTTCTGATGATATTCTATTATAAAATAATTCACATTCACATTAATCAACAATAAAAATAATTAGTCACTATAGCCTATATTCACCTTAACAGTGTTCAAATATTGGTTTATAAAATAATTTAGCCAGTCATAGATCTGAAAAAAGTTTATAACTGCATGTTGCCCAAGAGTTTCTGTTGGATGTAGATTATTCGTGACGAGTGCAAGACTTTATTGGATAAGAATGCAAATGAATGACCATATGTTGTACATAAATTAAAAAAGATCAAAGGAAAATCCTAGCTGCAAACAAATGCAATGTTTCTATGCAGGCGATGAATTAATAAAAAAAGCAATTCTGTCTTAACTGGTTGTTGCCCAACTTCATCATCATGAATCAATAATTGTAAGTGTAAAAAAATAATAATAGCAACAAGAATATTTTAATTGTGTAAGCCATATATATTATCTACAAATTACAAATAAAAATGAAATGGAGACATATAATAAAAAAATATGGGTGAGTAAATTATATTTAAATTGCCACATACCTATATGGTGGCATAGATTTACGGCAGAGGTAAATGAGGTTTTTAAAATGTCAAGGAAGTTCTGCAAACATCGATAACATCTTGAAATGTTCGCTAAATGTCTTTCAACTTGTAATGAAATTATAGCTCCCTCTTTGTAAGACTAACACTAGATTAATATGATTTATTTCTGTTATGAATTAAATTCATGAACTTCAGGCCTAAGTAACAAAACAATTATTATCATTTATGTATTAATACCATATTTTGATTTCATTTTATCAATTTCTTCTTGTTTCTTTTCAATATCAGTCTTCTTAAATGCTTTATTAGCTTGATAATACAATACTACCAGATAACGATTGCATACATTAAAACCAGATAAATGGTCACATGCATTTTTCGCATCAAATATGTCTTCAAATACAACGAATGCCGTTCCTCTTGTTTCTGGAGTATTTCCTACTCTTATTTGTCTAATAGCTCCATATTTGCCAAAAATATCATACATTTCTTCAGCTGTAATCTTGTAAGGTAAGTTTCTTACATATAATATCCTATTTATTTCGGGGGGCAAACGAACCTAAAACAATTGGTTTCAATTCAATACTTTAAATAAGGTGCCAGAAACTGTACTTACGTTTGCCTTTCTTTGCATTGCCAAAGCCATATTGTATTATGTAAAACCTACTTTTAAATATAATAATTTGTGTTTACTATTTAGTTTACACAATATATACAATCTTATTTCTTAATCAACCAACTTTTACAGAAATTCTCTGTAATCTATCTTTCTGTGAGGGCTTTACGATTTGCTGTTAGCAGCTAATAGCAACTTAGAGTTACTCTGAACTGATATTAGTTGCTAACGGACACTATTTTTGCCAAAACGAAAGACTCCTAACCACAAATTATAGAGATACCATAGACAGATATTCAACTAATAGGTCTATGAAAGAGACAATGAACTAGATATACACTGGAAGGGAGTCTACAAGTGTACCGTGTTTTGTTATGAGTTATGAATGCGTTTGTGTCAGGTGTCAGGTCAAACGCTACACAGACAATAAGACAAAACGCGGAGAAACGGTTTGACGTAGCCGCTAGACATGACAATCCCCTCCTCAGGCAAGCCGTTGACTACGTACCCGACGTGACCGACAAACACAAAAGACCTAAACACCAACTTTTTGACCCTGGGTGACCACCCCAATGACCCCCCCCCCTGCCCGCTAACCTTTTCTGTTTCAGAGACCGCCAGGATCAAGAAACGAAGACAACGACACACACACACACACACATACACACCCCCATACCCTCCTTACCCCTCCCCTTCCGCGCTAGCCTAAGGGCCACCTTAGCAAAGCGCATCCCAGGCTGCATAGCCGCACTACCCTACACAACCATACCACACATAAACATGACACTACCCCCGGGGTTTACACAGACGAGCCGGCGAAGCAAGAAGAGCGCCAGAAGAAAGGGCCCTAAGCCGGCGGGGCCCAGCCAGGACAAAAGGAGGTCCCACAAAGCGCCTACACCGGCCGCATTTGCGGTCGGGGTAGACGACGGATGGGGCCCACCTACGAAGGCTGTCCAGGCCTACACGAGATGAGGCAGGATAAAGAGGGATAATCCCCCTCGATCCCAAATCATTGAGGCCAATTTCTAGCCATAGAATAATGGCGCGCGGTGTCAGGGGCATAGAAAGAAAAGTTATAAATGGGGTACTCTTCGTTACATTATTGTTTATGAGAATTCTACTAATACCTACAGTTCTACATATATTTTCTGTTGCTAATATTTAAATTTGTATTAATATAGTTTACCCTCACATCAATTTCCTAACGAAGTATATTATTTTCATTTTTCTTAATTTATCATTATTTATTCTATATATTACATATTATTGCATTATAATAATTTAATTTACAAATTACCTCTTTATAAGGCGTACTGTCTTAGATCCCACGCGCCGCACAGGCCATTGTTTTTGGCGTTAAGCGTGGCCTCGATAATTTGGGACCGAGGGGGACTATCCTTTGTCCTGCCTTTTCTTTGTAGGCCTGGGGCAGCCTCGTGGAGGTCGGCCCCCGCTGGCAGGGGAGCCTCTTCTGGCGCTCTTCGTATCTTGATTTTCCTTTCTTCGCTGGCTTGTCTAGCCTCCAGTGGGTAGTCGTGAGGAGTGGGTTTTTGGGAATAGCTTGTAGCTAGGGAATGCACGCGGCCTTTGAGTGATAGGTTACGTCAGGCTCACCACGAAGTTTTTGTAATTTGTCTCTTCTTTGGTTCTTCTTGGTCCTGAAACATACAAGATTAGCTTGAGTGGGGGGGGGAGGGGGTTAGGACGCCTTAACATCTGCCAAAATGTGGTCGTCATCAATAGCAGCGTTTTATTTACTTGAGATTTTAGTTTCAAATCACCTAATTGGCCAATCTCTATTCAAATAGCTAAAATTAGTTGAGATCTAAGGAATATAAACACGGCTATTTTCCTACGACATCACTTTGGCACTCTACTATAATTTTCATCTAACTTATTCTTAAGTATCTAAAAATGACGCAGAACGTTCTTAGCCAATGTAGAAATGAAATTTTTATTTATCGGCCTATTAGAACTTAAGAAAACAATTAATTTTAAAGTACTATGAAACATAACATTCATATTGTCGACATGGAAATTGAGTAAAAATGGTCGTGGTCCTTTTAGGTTCTGGGGAGAAGACAGAGATATGAAGGCACCTTCACGAGGAGGTTACTGACTGAGAGCGCTTCCGAGCAGTAATGCAAGGAAACATCTCGCTCCCAGTTATGGAAACCACCTATGACCTGGAGGCGGCAGTCCTCTCCCTTGAGACTGACATTAAAAACGCCCTGACTCAGACGTACTACGACGGAGAGACTACTGTCCCCCGACTGACAAACCCCCGGGGCACCCACCCCGATGACATAAAAAACTTAATACGTGACAGACGACGTGCGAAACGGCTTGCCACCCGCACCCGCCTCCCCCGACACAGACATGACTTAAACGTACTTAACAGACGGGTGAAGGCGGCTCTGGATGAACTGGCCCAGGATAACTGGGCTAGGCACCTGGAGTCGCTGGATCCACAAGACAACAGCCTCTGGAAAACGCAGAGGGCCCTGCGACAGACCGCTCGCCGTAAAATTCCTCCAATCCACGGTAGTGTGGGGGTGGTTTACACGAACCAGGAAAAGGCCGAGGCTTTCGCCGATAGCCTGGAACTGCAGTGTAGACTGCCTCAGCTGCCCGA